AATTATAGTAGATGTTCTTGTTTTTCCTTATAACAGGGTTTATATGAGGAAGTAATGTCAGAGAAGGCTTTTCAAAACCTAGGTTAGAATCAGGTACGAAGCATTGAGAATGCCATTCTAAAGATTGTGGATTTTATTCAGTAGAAAACAAGGAGCTGTTTAGCGTTACTTAAGCCTTTGTCAAGTACAAGTTCTAGTTGTTTCACTTTCAGATATAGCCATTACATATTTATGGACTAATTTTTCAAGGTCCATTTACAATCAAATTTTGACTTCCATCCCTCTGGGCATGCATCAGGTAAACATACTTTTAAAATGTACGTATAGGGAAAGTCTTATCTATAACCTGTCCGTCTGGTGTCTAGTAACCTCAGTAGATCCAAATAGCAGAAAACCCAGAAATAAGAGATCAGATGAAAATAACTGCCACAAAGCCTATCCAAAGAAGATAACCGGGAGCTACTCTTTCTTGGGTACCAAACGTATTTGACTTAATTTTATCCATAGAGTTTGACTATCTATTTTTCTTTAGCTGGATTTTAGGAATTCTTAAAGTTTGTTCTAGGTTAAAGAGAAGAATAGGAGGTCTAAAGAGAGGATAACAAATAGCAAATGGAAAGGAGATGTAGATGAGGGAGCCAGTTCCTGGGTACAGAAGTAGACTCATTGACAGTGATGAAAAGCTTCAGTGAATAAAAGGAGATAAACACAGATGGCCATAAAAGAGTGAGAAGTTAATCAAGCCAGAAGAGCCCAACAGTTTAGAGTCATTTGTAGGGGCAAAGAGATCCTGAAAGTAAGATATATGTTACAGTACAATGTAGTAGTGATTGTTCATAGCAAGGACTCTGCATCATACAGAACAGTTAAATTACATCTTGAGTTTAGAAAGGAGAGAAAAATGAGAAATGTCTTGGAAACCAACTTGCACACAACTATTAACCCTTTAAGTACCAAATTAAAATTTCTGCAATCTAGAAAATCTACTTATCCAGAATACCTATTTTTCTAATTGTCAGGAATAAAGCATAATTATATTTGTATATATTATCTGTCCTGTTATTTTAGTGTGTTGTAAAGTCAAATACTGAGAAGCTAATCCACATCAGACTCATCTAATGAAGCTTTCACGTGGATATTTTGTAAGAAACATACTCTGTCTCTCCAGGTCTCTATCCCCTTGATTCTGAACTTGTTTGTTCACTACATAGAAAGGTTATTGTTATATGCTATGTGTCTACCTATGCTACAGTGGGTACATTCTGAGGGAAAAAAAGGAGCAAATGGGATGTCCTGAAACTATCACCATCTTTGGCACCAAATAGCTATGTAGCTTTAAACAAGTCACCCTAACATCTCTTTGTAGGGAGTTCATAAATAGTTTCATGAGGTCCCCTTTCAATTCTCAAATTCTAAAAAGCCAGTACTGAGCAAGATTGGCCATAAAGGAAGTCTTTCCAGAGAGGTCAGATGTAGTTAGTAGAAATAGAATATGTTAATGAGGAGACAGGAAAATAGCCAAGAAGGAATAGTCAGAGTATTCACAGTATTGCAACCGGAAGAGTCACGTGGCAAGAATACAAGTTGGAGCTCAGCAATTGGAGCAGAGAACCCAACTAAAACTGAACTACCTAGTCACTGTGTCCATTTTCCCAAATTATAGAGCTCTTGCTGACATTGATGATATTAAAATGAGTTTTTAGCAAATGAATAAACAGCAGAGGTGGCAGAACAAACGGTTTAAGCAGCTCAGCTTGGAAGAAGGTCTGGGAAAGAGTTTAAAAAGAGTTTGTGCAATGGACAAAAGGCAGATCTTGAAAGAATGAACTTAGGTAAAAATTAAGGTTGTATAGAGCCTGCAAGATCAGAGACAACACAGGTACTCCAGAGCTGTCGTTTCTCTTATTGTGGTTTTAGGTAGCGCAGATAAACTAGCCAAGAATCCACTGTACCACGTCATCACCACGTGAGAGGAGCCCCAGAACAAACAAGAACAGCATGATTTCAGTCACTTGCCGTTAAAGCAGCTTCTTTCTTCATTCCCCTGTCTATTCTGTGCTGCCTCTAATTTACCCAAGTGTAAATTAGGCTCTCCTAAGAAGAACCAGTTTTTATTCCAACTTCAAGTGTCTACACTCAGGATGTGCAATTCACGGTCAGCTGATAAAATTTAAATTTGGCCAAAGAAAACCTTAAATGGCTTAGTATCACTCTGGTTTAGACTCACAGATCTTTTATGTTTGTGCTGAGTCAAAACCAGGGAAATATTAAGTTGAGTAAGATTTTTCTTTAGCCAAATTTGGGTTATATCATCACAAGCTTAAGAAATAGGAGCCAGAATGATGATTTTTAATGAGCACTAACAGGTCATGTGGGCTGACAAGAGAAGCAGGCAGAGAAAGTACATGCTCAGCCTTACTGCAGAGTAGTAATAGCGATCTTTTTCAAGACCTTTATCTGCTGAGTTTTTGTTTTTGCTGCTAACAAAGTTGTCGATATAGGGCTCTGAAACATGTTTGCGTTTTTTTAGTCAAATCATGGATGTTTATAAAAGTTGTTTTCCTTTTCCAATATCTCTATTTTACTTCTACTGTCAATTTCAGTTTTTATGTAAGATTTGCTTAAACTTAAAAAGCAATAATTAGGGGGCTGGCCCTGTGGCCGAGTAGTTAAAGTTCCATGCGCTGTGCTTCTTTGGCCCAGGGTTCACGGGTTCAGATCCTGGGTGTGGACCCACTCCACTCATCAGCCATGCTGTGGAGGCATCCCACATACAAAGTAGAGGAAGATCGGCACTGCTGTTAGCTGGGGGCAGATCTTCCTCACACAGAAAAAAAATAATTAAAATTGATACATCAGCATTACCCTTGCTATTTCTTTTGCTTTTATCCATCCACATGATACCAGCACAAAGCCCTAAATTTAATGAACTAAAAAGTGTTTTTTTATATTTGCTGTATTCCTGAAGTGTTGAGCAAGGTCTTTTCATCCTGCAAGTCCAACTATTCCAATGCTGTAACTTCTGGAATCTCCATTAAGCTTCACAGCCCTTGGAAACTCCTCTATCAGGCCTCACGAGGTCCTGCCCTATACATGTACACTTCAATATTTGGACAAAGATTAAAAGAATCCCAGTGCAGTTTTCTTGAGCTCCTTCTCTGCAGCTCTCTTCTCTCTAGTAGTTTGTCCCACACATTCCACTTGCTTTAGTATCCTGAACTCCAATCTTTTTTTTTCTCCGCCCAGTGAGGTAGCTACACTTCATTTGGGTTTAACTTCACTGTGTTGCACTTTGGAAAATACGACCCAACAGAAAACTGACAATCAATTATTTTTTTCAAGATATTTTCCAATGTCTGTTTTCCAATGTCTGAAAATAGATAAAATATATAAAGCAGTTTGTTTTATAGTAGTTTACAGAGGAAGGATAAGTGTGACATTCATTATTCCATTGTGGCTGAAACCAGAAGTTTATTGAATTGATTTTTTTTTTTTGATAATTGAACTTTATTGAAAATCTTTAAGAAAGTGGGGTTTTTTTGGGCTTTTTTGTTTTTTTAGGAAAATCAGCCCTGAGCTAACATCTGCTGCCAATCTCCCTCTTTTTGCTGAGGAAAACTGGCCCTGAGCTAACATCCGTGCCCATCTTCCTCTACTTTATATGTGGGACGCCTACCACAGCATGGCTTTCCAAGCGGTGCCATGTCTGCACCCAGGATCCAAACCAGCTAACCCCGGGCCACTGAAGCAGAACGTGTACACTTAACCACTGCGCCACCAGGCCAGCCCCTGTATTGATTTTTATCTTAGTGGCTTCTTAATGTTTTTTTTCTTCAGTGGATTAACATTTCTTGGTGTTTGGTGATACAGTTCCAGAAATGCCACATGGAATTTATTAAGCTTCTAGATACTAGCTCATTTTTATGCTTTTCTATAAATATTTGTAGAATCAGCAATAAACTTTATGAAGTTCCTATTTTGAGCTCCCTGTTATAAGAGAAGCTGGAGAGTAGTATACCAGTGTAATATAAGAACAGCATAGGGGCTGGCCCCGTGGCCGAGTGGTTAAGTTCGCTCCCTCCGCTGCAGGCGGCCCCGTGTTTCGTTGGTTCAAATCCTGGGCACGGACATGGCACTGCTCATCAAGCCACGCTGAGGCAACGTCCCACATGCCACAACTAGAAGGACCCACAACGAAGAATATACAACTATGTACCCGGGGGCTTTGGGGAGAAAAAGGAAAAAAATAAAATCTTAAAAAAAAAAAAAAAAAAAAGAACAGCATAAAGGGGCCAGCCCAGTGGTGCAGTGGTTAAGTTTGCACATTCCACTTTGGCGGCCAGGGGTTCGCCAGTTTGGATCCCGGGTGCAAACATGGTACTGCTTGGCAAGCCATGCTGTGGTAGGTATCCCACATATAAAGTGGAGTAAGATGGACGCAGATGTTAGCTCAGGACCAGTTTTCCTCAGCAAAAAAAAAGAAGAAGAAGAAGAAGATCATAAAGACTTTCTTTTGACTTCAAAGAGTTTTCACATCCCTTCAGAAGACAAAGCAGGCAGTAGTTACCAAAGAGATGATGGGTAATAAGCAGTAGAAATTGATGTTGGCTGGATAACAGTAATCCAACATTTAATGACCCATGCACACTTTGAACTCTTTACATAAATTATCTGATTTAATCCTATAAACAATGCTGTGAGATAATATTTTCATTTTCATCTTAAAAATGAAAAAACTGGGGATTAACAAGGTTAAATAAAATATCGAGTACAGATGAGAGCTACATAGCTATCCAACTAGAGTATTCTGTAGGCATTTAACAGTGTAGACTTGAAGTTTTGATACAAGGACAGGAATGGAGAAATTTGCAATATTGTCAGCACTCATATACTTCTTTGTGCTTCTACCCCAATTTCCTCCCATGCAGACTATGACATTTTTCACTAGCTAACTGTGCATTTATTAAACATAATATCACATATCTGTTTCTACTTTACAGAAAGAAATTCTGGAACAACAGCAGCAAGAACGAAACGATAACAATTTTCATGGCATTTGTATGTTCTGCAGTGAGGAATTCCTTGGAAACAGGTTTGTCTTTACGCATGTCTTTAAGTGTTACTGTTCTTCCTCTGAAAACTCATCAAAACATCCATAGTGGTTATATAAATTGAGTTCCATGGATTGGCTCAGGACTCTTTCATATATCAGCAGTAATTTTTTTTTAATATGCGTAACATCAAAGATGGACTGTAGTTACTCTAGGCAGAGCAGGGGAATAGATTTTTTAACTGCCGAAATAGATTTGTTTAATGTTACGGGGATTCTTAAATTGGCTGGCAGGCAAGGCCATGTGCAACAGACTTCTACAGACACACCCTTCTGTATAAGCTTGTTACCTCTAAACCTTTAGCAGGTTTTGGTGTTTCACTTTTGGATATTAAAAATGGTAAAGATCTAAGGAAGAAAAACTGGGGGATTGGGAGTTCTGTCACCAGCCCCAACTGGTCCAAAACCAACTGGTGTACTGTCATCCAATTCTAACACTGACTTAACATCAGATTCTATAGATTTAAGGGCTTCATTCCCAACGAGATCTCCCCCACTTTAGACACCAGCCACAAGTTCAGGGGTTCCCCAGGACACCTGCACTTTTGACCAACTCGCTACAAATTCAGAGATTCCCACCAGTAACTTGCATAGGTTCAATAGTTCACTAGAATGACTCACAAAATTCAGGAATGTACTATACTTACAATTACAGTTTTATTATAAAGAATACAGATCAGGAAGAGCCAAAAGAAGAGACATACAGGGCAAGGTCTGGAAGGGTCCCGAACCGGAGCTTCTGTGCCCTCTCCCTAAGGAATCAGGACACATCACTCTCCCAGCATATCAATGTATTCACCAACCAGGAATATTCACTGAACTTTAGTGTCCAGAACTTTTAATGGGGCTACATTATGTAAGCATGATTGATTAAATCATTTAACTTAATCTCCAGCCCTCTCCCCTCTCTGTAGGTCAGGCTGGCTCAAAGTTCCAGCCCTGTAATCCTGTGGTTAGTCTTTCTGTTGACCTGAAGCTATCTAGGGGTCCACTATGAGTCACCTTGTTGGCGTAACAAAGATAATCCTATCATAGAGAAATTACAAGGGTTTTTAGGAGCTCTATTCCAGGAACCAGGGACAAAAACCAGACAAATTTCCTATTATACAGTAGTGATATTTATAAATGTATATTCACTTAAAAACAAGTCATGAAATTGTAACCTCTAGGAACTGGAAATAGTTTTAGTGACAACATACAGTGGACAATCAGAAAAATATCATCTTCTGCCCACTTTAGTTAAAAAAAAAAAAAAAAAAACAGCTTAGCACAGTAACTGACATTGTTGTCTAAAAAACATTGAAAAGGAGAGGGTAGCTACTCATTTGAATTTAGAAAAGGGTTTGGTTAAAGCGTTAATGTTTAAAACACCCATGATGAAGATTTGATTCTCATATAGATCAGTTAGCATAGAGAAAAATCTGTGCCACGGTCACTGGTTATGCCTCTAACTCTGTCCTTCCAGAGCTTTCAAAGAGCTTTATGGTGATGGGAGTGAAGACCAAGTGTGAGAGTTGTTATGGATCAGTGAAAACCCACCTACTATCAAAAGTTTAGCCAACATTGTTATTGACAACCTTTTAGCAGGATATCTCTGACTTTAGGTTAAGATTGTTATTAACCTAGCGAGGAAGCATGTGATTATTGTTAGGAATCCCTAGTATTGACATATAAGAAGCTGCAAATCATATTTTTAAGTTCTCATGATAAATGTAGTATTGATATGATTTAAATATATGTCCATATGATATTAAATTCTGGTAATATTGGTATTTCAACCTACTGAACATTGGTGCTCCTCTAGCTCCTAACATAATCCTCCTCTTCTTCTTTTCTATCTGTATCTGTATTCTCTGAGTGGGATCACATGGGAATTAAGTGAGCTCCTCAGTAGTCTTGATTGACTATGTCAGTGTTCTCTAATAAATGAAATTTTTTTTTTCATTTTGACATTGGACTTTTAACTTTTTCTTGTTTTTTTTTTTTTTGAGGAAGATTAGCCCTGAGCTAACAGCTACCATCAATCCTCTTTTTTGCTGAGGAATACTGGCCCCGAGCTGACTTCCATGCCCATCTTCCTCTATTTTATATGTGGGACACCTGCCACAGCATGGCTTGACAAGCGGTGCGTAGGTCCGCACCTGGGATCTGAACCGGGAACCCTGGGCTGCCAAAGTGGAATGTGCGAACTTAACCACTGCGCCACTGTGCCGGCCCTCAATAAATGAAGTTTTTAAGAAATTAATCAGTGACAAAGATAAGCAGCATCTAGTTTTTGTAAAATGTCCCCTTTCCTTCTGCAGTTCTTGTTTATGAAAAGGTCAGTTTATAATAAAAGATTAAAGATACAATCTGATTCCAGCTAGGCACTATGTTAGCAGTGTTTTGGGCTTATGTTTGTGTCCTCCCAGCCTAGAGACATAAAAAGAATAGAAAGATGAAGGAAGTAGATAAAGGATGGGATAGAGGAGTAAATACTTTTTTGTTATCCTACATCTACTCTTTCTCCTATATCCTCTTGACTCTGCAATGTATAAAGCTATTTCTTTTAACCGGTTTGTGTCTTTGAATCTGAAATGGGTTTCTTGTAGACACATATAGTTGGATCATGTTTTTTTATCCAGTCTCCTAATGTCTGCCTTTGATTAGAATGTTTAATCCGTTGATGTTTAATGTATTTACTGAGAAGATGGGATTTACTTATACTGTTTTGCTATTTGTTTTTGTTATGTTTTAGGTCTTCTTATTCCTCTCCTTCTCCATTACTGCCCTCTTTGTATTAAATAGATATCTTCTGGTGTACCATTTTAATTTCTTTGTTTCTTTTACTGTATTTTTTGAGTTGTTTTCTTAGTGGCCCATTCACCATTCACTACAATTCACTGGAGATTACAACTAACATGTTAATTTAAAACAATCAAGTTCAGGTTAATACCAATGTAATTCCAATAATGTACAAAAACTTTGCTCCAAAAATCTTTCCCACCCCTTTGTGCTATTGTTATACAAATTACATCTGTATGCGTTGTAAGCTTATTAGCATGTTTTATAATTTTGGCTTTATGCAGTTGTCTTTTACATCAGATATGGGAAGAAAAGAGTTATAAACAAAAATTCATTCATACTGCCTTTTATATTTGACTATGTAATTACCTTTACTAGTGTTCTTTATTTCTTTATGTAGATTTGAGTTACTGTCTAGCATCCTTTCATTTTAGGACAAAGGACTTCCTTTAGTTTCTTGTTGGGTAGATCTGCTATCACTGAATTTTCTCAGTTTTTGTTTATCTGGGAATGTCTTGATTTCACCTTCAGTTTTTGAGAAATCATTTTTTTGGATATAGAATTCTTGGTTGACAGTCTTCTTCCTTAAGCACTTTGAATATGTCATCCCACAGCCTTCTAGTTTCCATGATTTTTGATGAGAAGTCTGTGTTAGTATTATTAAGGACCCTGTGTGCATGATGAATCACTTTTCTCATGCTACTTTCAAGATTCTCTCTTTGTCTGGGTTTCAGCAGTTTTTGTCTTGGTATGAGTCTCTCTGGTTTATTCTGCCTGAAATTTGTTGGGCTTCTTAGATGTTTGGGTTAATATGTTTCATCAAATTTGGGAAGTTTTCAGCCATTATTTCCTCAAATGTTCTTTCTGCCCTTTTCTCTCGCTCCTTGCCTTTTGGGAATCCTATTATACATATGTTGTTAGACGTGATGGTCTCTAATGCTCAATTTTTCCTCATTCTTTTTTCTTCTATTCCTCAGACTGGAAAATCTCAATTGACCAATCTTCAAGGTCGTTGGTTCTTTCTTCTGCCAGGTCAAATTTTCTTTTGAGTCCTTCTAGTGAATTTTTCATTTCAGTTATTGTACTTTTCAACTCCAGGATTTGTTAGGTTTTTAAAATTTTCTATCTTTTATTAGTATTCCCTCTTTCGTGTGATAAAATTCTCATATTTTTCTTTGATTCTTTAGGCATGGTTTCCTTTAGTTCATAGAACATATTCATGTTAGGTGATGTAAAGTCTTTGGTAAGTCCAACATTTGGGCTTCCTCAAGCACAATTTCTATTGACTCCTTCCTTTTCATATGAATGGGCCATAGTTTCTTGTTTCTTTGTATGTCTTATAATTTTTTGTTGAAAACTCAACATTTTAAATAATATACTGTGGTAACTCTAAGATTCAGATTCCTTCTTTCCCTCCAACTGGGGGTTTTTGTTTGTTCTTGCTGTTTGTATATTTAGTGACTTTCTTGGACTAATTCTCTAAAGTGGGTTCTTGGGTGTGTGTGGCCACTGAACTATCTGCTTAGTTAAGTTCAGTGTTCAGCTAATGATAAGACAGAGATTTCATTAAATGCCTTCAACCAGTATATTTTCTGCCCTTTTCAAGGGGCTCGGTATGTGGCTTGAGGGACACCTTCAACACTGTCAGCTTACAGCTCTGCCCTAGTCGTACTACTTGTGGTAGAGTCTCACAGTCAGCCAGAGGTCAGAGGCTAGGGTCTTCTCAAGTATTTCCTGCACATGCACAGCCCTGCATGTGTGCATGGTCTTCTAGATCCCTGGGAGTATGTTGGAACTTTTCAAAGTCCCCCACGGATATCTCATTCCCTAGATTTTCGGCCAGCCTATTGTTTACCCTAACTGGTATTGCCTCAGGCAACTGTAGTGTTAAACTTTGTAGGGAAATCTTTATTCCTACAGTGTAAAGAGGGAAAAGTATTTGAGAAGGAAAAATACAGTAACTTAGCTCCCATCTCCTAACTTACGGACCCTAGAAACCAGGCCTTTAGGCCCCAGAGCGATCAAGAGCAGAACTGGTCTCCCATGAGTACATTCATTGTGACCCTTGAAGACAAGAGATCCGGATGCTACATAGACTGGAAATTAGAGAAACCTCCCAACTCATGCATACCCCTTGAGCCAGCTGTTATTTATGACCCCCATCCTGGTACAATCTAGGGTCTGGATCTTTGGCCTGGAAGTTCTGGGCAGGTATAACTATGGCTAGGCTACTTGAAGGAGTACCTCCTTGGATCCAGAGTCACTGTACCCTGCCTCATCACAGCCTTGGGGGTGGGGGAAGTTTCCAACCCTCTGCCTTACACCTCCTGCCACTCACCCACCCCACCCCACCCCCTGCAAGAGACTCCCAGCTCTGCTTCCACCTTGACCCTTCCACAGACTGGGCCTCAGGCCTAGAACCCCTGGGAAAATCCAGCTGTGTCTGTGGACCCAAAAGTCACTTGGAAGTACTCCACCAAATATTAGTTTTATTCAAAGTTATCAATGACAAATGGGCATATTAACTATGAGATTGATAAATGTGTCTCCAACATAGTAAAAAAAAAAAAAAGATCAGCAAACATTTTCTTAGAAGTAGTTGCTTTATTTCCCTTTCTAGAGGGGAAACAACACTAAAAACAATTCTTTTGAGGCCAGCTACATGTCTAAATAAGCTAGATAAACCGTATAACATGTCACTATACTGTCAATGGTATGTGTACTAATGAGTTCCAAAAACCTATCACCTTTATTTTATGAACTAAACTTGTGATAAAGGCCCAATAGAATGTATTTTACATATAGTCTTTTTTGCTATGTAAAAGTTACATAAATTAAAATTTTCCTTTTTGGCATACACTAATCAATAGGCTGGTCATTCTGTATCCAGGTTATCATAACCCTTACGTGTAAATAGATGTGTGAACTGTGGGTTCCAGGTCTGTCCAATGATAAACTGACTAAATGTCTATAATCCCAGGTCATAGCAGGTCATATTTCTCTTGGGCAGTCATTGCTTCCTCTTCCTCATGATGAATTAGAGAAGTAGGCAAAGCATAGTTTATTTAATAGTTTAAAGGACAGAAACCCAATTCACCTGTGCAGAGTAACCCTTTCCACTGGCAGATAGTGGAACAAACTTGGACTCTCTTTAAAGAACTGGTGTGACTATATATGTACTTAGATACTTTGTAACATATCACTCTTTTGTAGCCCAAATGTGTGTTTCCATGTTTAACACTTGCTTATACTTCTAATTAGTGTTGTTATCATTATACAAATGCTATTCCTGACTTGATTTGTTCCTAGATGATTTATAAATAATACACATTGCTTGAATTTCTTCCTAGATCTGTTCTTTTGAACCACATGGCCAGAGAACATGCTTTCAACATTGGATTGCCAGACAACATTGTTAATTGCAACGAATTTCTATGTACATTGCAGAAAAAGCTTGACAAGTAAGTACTTTTTTAAGGAACATGACCTGAAGCTATTTTAATCTTGGACTTTGTTGTGAATTTTTAAAAATTAATAATTAGAAGTAATTAAAGAAATGGAATTTTCTCATTTCTCTTGTTGGAGGAGTTCTCATTTTGTCTAGATCATATTGCCTTTTGGTGCTTTTTAAATAAAAGTGTCATATATACAAAACAATGTACATAACCGTGTAATGTATGTTACATGGGATACGAAAAATATATTCAATGTCTAGCCTAAGACATAGAACATTATTAATTCCTTTGAATCTCCCTTTCTGCCTTTCCTCATTAGTATCTCCCCAGAAAACCACTGTTCTTAATTTTGGATTTATAATTCCTTTCCTTTTCACTATAATTTTTCTACATATTTAGTAAAGTAAATATATTGTCAAATTGTTGTATGTTGTTCAGCTTTATGCAGGACATAACATACTGTATACATTCTTCTGCCTTTTAGTATTTAACCACGTTTATATATCGTAATGCTCTGCTTTTCCCAAGGTCATATTCTGGCAACCTTTGGTATCTAGAGCTTTACTTAGAGAAATAAGGAAAGAAATTCTCTGGGTCACCAAAATGGCTTTCAAAAATCCATCCAATTTTCTTTCTAGGAAAGGGCACAAGATTTTTTGTCTCAAACCTAGTTTTCTTCATTTAAATATAATACTAAAGAGTGTGGTATCTCAGCCCACAACATTTGGAGCAGTAACCTTAAAAAAGAAGTATCAGAAGCAACCTAAGTGCCTGTCAACTGATGGTTGGATAAAGCAGATATGGTATATATATATATATATATATATATATATATATATATATATGCAATGGAATACTACTCAGCCATAAAAAAGGATAAAATCGTCCCATTCACAACAACATGGATGGACCTTGAGCGTATTATGTTAAGTGAAATAAGCCAGATGGAGAAAGACGAACTCTGTATGACTCCACTCATACGTGGAAGTTAAACATATAGACAAAGAGAACTGATTGGTGGTTACCAGGGGAAAGGCGGGGTGGGGGGAGGGCACAAAGGGTGAAGTGGTGCACCTACAACATGACCAACAATAATGTACAACTGAAATTTCACAAGGTTTTAAACTATTATAATCTTAATAAAAAGTTTTTAAAAAAGTATCAAGTGATATAAATCAATTATAAAAAGTTCTAAATTCAAATTCTGGTATCAACACTATGTTAAAACAAGTCCCTTCGCTCTTTTATTGAATGACCCTTCATTTATAAAATAATACCAAATGTGCTAGAATTTGGTAGCACAAAATTCTAATTTGTGCAATAATGAATATTCCTAATCAGCTTATCGCCTATAAATTGGTTACTGTAAAAGCATATAGTTATTTCTGTGGCATAAGAAATAGTTGAAAGGCTGTTTAGTAGAGTTGAAAAAAATTCAGAACTGAAACAACAAATTTCATTCATTTAAGAGTTTTCATGTAGAAGGGAGATTAGACTTAATCTATGTGACTCCAAAAAGTAGAACTCTAATGATTGTTGGGTAGATATGACTGGCAGTATCAACTGTCCAGTTTAGGAAAAGAAAGACATTTTGTTAGTAATCTGTTTAAAACTGTTAATTACTGCCTCGTTAGGTAATGAATTCCCAGTCAGTGGAAATATTCAAGGAGAGAGTACATGAGAATGATAAGATAGTAGTAAAAGCTACCATTTATTGAGCGCTTAACTGTGTGCTATGAACTGTGCTAGATATTTTATTTATATATGTTAATTATACAGAGATACTTTATTCATATATACAAAAATTACACATATATATTTTTTGTGTAGATGTATTAAATCTTCAATATATAAACTATATATGCATATATATGTATAAGTAATCATAAAAATCCTCTAAAATGTAGGTATTATCTTCACTGTAAAGGTCAGAAAATGAATGACAACAGAAAGGGCAAGTAACTTAACCCAGTCACATAGTCCCATAGCTAGTAGGTACTGGAGCTGGGAATCAAACCCTGAAAGTCAGCTCAAAGGATATGCCAAACCATGGACAAATTGTTATACTCAGTGGAGGTAGCCAATGCTAGTTATCATTATAATTATTTGAAGAGCATACCTATATTTTCATTTTTAGAATAGATAATTTGATTAGTAAAGTACCAAAATAATTTTTGGATATTAACTATCTTTGCACAGTTTTAACTACATAGCAAAGCTGTCCAACTTAGCCAACTACAAAATAAACTGTAGCATGCATCCTACAAAGCCAAATGAATAAAGTGAGAGGAGTTCTGACAAGGATGTCACATCCCATTTGAAGATTCCCTATGACCTAAAATGAATAAATATAAGACTTCAAGAAAATAAAAGACTATTTCAGCTACTATCCAAGAGACTTCTTTAATCTATCAGTGTTTATGTATTTATTTTAGCTTGCAATGCTTGTACTGTGAGAAGACCTTCAGAGACAAAAATACGCTTAAAGATCATATGAGGAAAAAACAGCATCGGAAGATCAATCCTAAGAACAGAGAATATGACCGATTTTATGTCATCAATTATTTGGTAAGGCTTTCTCTTCATAATTTAAAATTTGATTGCATTTCTGCAAATAAAAATCTTTCTAAGAGCCATCTAATATTTAAACAAGCAGTTAGTATAAAGGTCAAAATGTAACTGAGGGATACTTTCAAGCAGTGATTAGCTTTAAAATGGTTGGTTTACAAAGTGTTACTTAATTTGATTTGTCAGATGTTTATATGGTAAAAATGACGTGTCTCAGGGCCGGCCCAGTGGCACAGTGGTTAAGTGCGCACGTTCTGCTTTGGCGGCCCCGGGCTCACTGGTTTGGATCCTGGGTGCGGACATGGCACCGCTTGGCACACCATGCTGTAGTAGGCGTCCCACATATAAAGTAGAGGCAGATGGGCATGGATGTTAGCTCAGGGCCAGTCTTCCTCAGCAACAAAGAGGAGAATTGGCAGCAGTTAGCTCAGAACTAATCTTCCTCAAAAAAAAAAAAAAAAAGAATGACGTGTCTCTAGACCTCACAGTGATCTTGACCAAAAAAAAGATGAATGTAAAGCTCTTGGATATGCACACACTCTTCCTCATTTATTGTGTTATCTATTACCTTGAGGGCAGAGACTTTTGTGTTCTATTCAAAAAGCATTTGTTGACCTCTGGGTGTGCTAGGTGCTGGATAATTATCTATTCTAGATAATTATTTAAAAACAATCTCAACAGATGTTAGCTCAGGTGCCAATCTTTAAAAAAAAAATTTTTAATTAAAAAAATAAATAAAATAACAATCTCTTAATTCTTCCCCTCTCTCCTTATTAAAGAAAAGCTTCCCTTGCCCACAAAAAAATATATCTTTATTGTTCTCTTGGGCCAGCTTATTTTTCATGGAAATTTCAGAGAAACCAAGTTATTTCACTAGGCAAGAGGACTTTTGTTTGTTTGGCTAGTAGGATGGACTAAGGAGTTTATTAGGTCAAGAATTTTAAATACATGGAAAGAACTCTTTGCCCAGAAACTTCACTACCAGTTGTTGACTTCTGTAGATTACAGTCCCTTTGATTCAGTTGGAGGCAGGTGTTGCTAGGGTGGCATTTGGAAATTTGAGTGGATTTTTGATTGACACAATGACTGGGGAGTGCTACTGGCCCTGCCCCCAATTGCCTGATTTTTTAGGTGTACACAACAAAGGAGGGAAACTACTCCTCTAAAGAGGGGGATTAAGTAACTCTCCAGTGGGATTGAAAGAAAGATGGAGAGTTCTATTTCTGATAGTTTTCTTTTTTCTTTCTGTTGAGGAAGATTAGCCCTGACCTAACTTCTGTCCCAGTCTTCCTCCACTTTATATGTGGGTCACTGCCACAGCATGCTGACAAGTGGTGTAGGTCCACACCTGGGATCGAAACCTGCAAACCCAGGCCACTGAAGCTGAGCGCACTGAACTTAACCACTACACCTTGGGGCCAGCCCCTCTGGCACTTTTCTTAAGCAAATGGAAACTGGTATTTTCCTCTCTGTATGAATGAATTAGAATCCAAAACCATTGGCCACAAAAAGCATAATTGATTATAATCAGCCATTTTATCTATTGGGCAGAAACAAGCATATCCTGAATTATATTGGAAATCTCTGCTCTAGGGTGGACTTTTTGTCTGTTCTAACTAATCCTTATAGTGTTAAAATAAAACTCCCCTTGAGGGGCCGGCCCTGTGGCCCAGTGGTTAAATTCACGAGCTCTGCTTCGGCAGCCCAGGGTTTCACCAGTTCAAATTCTGGGTGTGGACATGGCACCACTCATCAAGCCATGCTGAGGTGGCATCCCACATGCCACAACTAGAAGGACCCACAAGTGAAAATACACAACTATGTACTGGGGGGCTTTGGGAGAAAAAGCAAAAAATTAAATCTTTAAAAAAAAAAAACACTCCCCTTGAAAAGCAAGTTTAGCATGTGTTTCAAGATTGGCTCTTGAGAGGTTGCATGGTTTGCTACAAATGTTTTACAACTAGCTAAAGGCAAAGGCACCCTTTGAGTCCTTCACTCTTGAACTTGCTCAGTCGTTAATTCCCTAGAGCAAACACTGCTTCAGGGCTCAAGCCAGACCCAATAAGGAGTGGACTTCAGTGTTAGCTCTGAGAAATATTCAGCTACTGCAGAAAGCTATGGAAGAATCTAATAGTACTTTCTTCTGGGCTCTTTTAAACTAACATTCAAGAGCTTGGGGCTAGTGGGACATTATATACCTGGAGGTGTTTACCTTTTAGAGGAGACCTCAAAGGGACTGCTCACTCACATTGTTCTGGGACTTTTAGGAAAGTGTGATACTTCATTCCCTGAGCATCAAGTAGTGCGACTGTCAAAACTGAAATTATCTGGGGGGGCCAGCTGTCTCTAGATGCGCATGCTAGATTATACTGCCCAGAGTGCCCAGATCTGATGCGCCATGAATCATGGCTTGAGAGAAGTGCTTCAAGGGAATGTACAGGCTTTGATAACATATAAAAATGAAAATTAAATCACTTTAAGATAATATTGATAGAATTTTTTTTAACTAGCAGCATCTGAGTGCTTGATATGTGTCAAGCACTGTCTTAGGTATTTATATTAAGTCATATACTCTTAACCACATCCCTATGACGCAGATTTTATCATTATCCCCATTTTATAGATTAGGAGCCTGGGGCACAGAGAGGTTGAATAATTTTCCCAAGATCACATAGCTGGAGCTATTTCCTTAATCTCTCTCTGCATCAGGTTCCTTCACTTTTTTCTCAATTTTTACAGTTGAAATAATACTAGTACCTACCTCTTACACTTCAAGTTGAGTCTTTGATCAAGTAACAGTGATGAATTCGTAATGATCTGTTCACCCTTCCTTGCCTATTCTCTTTTGCGCTAGAAACTAGAAACTGAGCCAAGTTCAAAGCTGACTTTAATCAGCTCTTTAAGGGCTCTGGCCCCACAACCTTAGCCTTCTTAGCCCTGTGTGCTTTCAGGCTGAAGTAAATAACCAACAACAATAAGAATGATTTTTTTAAAAAACTAAAATGTGTTATGATGCCTTAGCATTTTGGAAATGATGTAAACTTACCTTTGAAAAGGATTGAAGAAGCTAATAAAGTCCCTAAAGATGTGTAGGTGTCCTAACCCAGAGAAGTGCTTACCAGAGATGCCCACCGTAATCACAGTCTAGGAATATTGTCATAAATAAAAGGTATACTAATACATAGAATGAGTATATACAAGATTGTTCCAAATACTAGTAGTGTGAAATTAGAGATAAATGAGGGCCAAAGGTTTCTCAGCATCATTTTAGGTTTTTAGACCCCATTAATGAAAAATATTTAACATGAAGAATAAAATATTCTAAAAGTTAATTAAGCAATGAATAATAGTATTACTTTATTTTTTTTAAAGGTAAAAATAAACCACAAAAGAATGAGAGGCATTCACTGTTTATTCCTCTGAGGGAAAAGGCTGACATGAGTGCATGAATGTGGGCAAAAGAGAGAAGAATTGGTATATTAGTAGTCAGTGTCTGTCTATCCATTTCTCACATCCTCTTCCGTGCAGAAGTAATTTCATTGGCTTCATACATTCTATACACATTTGAGTGCCTGCCAGGTACCAGACCCTGGTGGAACAGAAAGACAAATATTGCAGATAAGGTGGTTGATTTGAGTCACTACTCTCAAAGAGTTTAGAGGTTGGTATGAGAGACAGACATGTAAGCACATTAATTTCAACACCTGTAATGGTGTGTACAAAGCTGAAGTTTTGACTTCTTCTATAGTAGTATATGCAGTAATTGAGTCATGCACCCATAGTTTCTTACCTCCACTTTAAACAGAATCTCCAGACCTGCAGTGATGGAAGCATCCAGGATATTCCTGGCAAGATGCACTCTAATAGTCATAAAAGGTGGGAGAGCCACGGGACAAAGAGGCTGTTTCTGGTTCTCCTCTGAGCTCAGCAAATTGACAAATTCCTTTTTCCCTCCTTAGGTGAGATAATTTCCATGCTTAATAATTCATATCAGTTTTTGATTCATAACAGACTTGCAAATACATTAAACATCCTTTGTATAGTCCAGATTATCTGCTTAAAGTTCTTTCTTTGTTCTCACAAACAAAAGGGTTCATGGATAGTGAGGATGCTTAAGAGGACAAGGTCCTAGGCAGTTTCACATTCAGATACTCCTGCCTCAGAGGGCAACAGACTGCATTACATCATCATCAAAACTTCAGCTACATATTCCTAAGGGGCTCATGTTCCGAGCACTGAGTTTTTCTAAAGGGAACTGTTTTTACAGTGGTTTTATCATCTTTTTATTTAAATTTTTATTAACATATACGGAGCCATTTGTAACAAATGTAGGTTTTTGCCCTGTTTTTCATAGTTTTGCTATAGTTCTCTCTAATGAAATTATTTACATTTAAAACAGTTCTATCTCTCTGTTTCTAATGGATTTTTTGTGTAGCACATGTAAGTGCGTGTGTTTTGGGGCAGAGAGGTAGTGGGTGAAGGGAATCTTTTTTTTCCATGGTTTTTTCCACCCTCTCATTGATCATAAGCCATCTGATGCAGGGGTTTGAGAGGGTGTTCTGAACATCTTTACAGACATGCCTTCCAAACTTTGTTTTTCTTGCATTCTTTGCTTTCCTGACATGATTCATTAGCAGGCACAGAGTCTTAATTAGAGACTTATGTGCTTTTTTTTCTCATTGGGTCTTGTTCCTGTTATAAATCATGTGTTTAACTGTACAAGGCAGAGCCCACTAGGAAAGTCTGGATCACTGTCACATGCAAATCACATGTTCCCTAATATACTAATGAACACAGTGTTCCATTTTCCTCTCAAGTGGTAAATGGTTAGTGCTGTTTTACCTAGCTAAATCCCTACGTATTGTACTGAATATTGAGAAAGTTGCCAAGTGATGCTTTGAGTTTGAAAGTTTGACCGTGAAAGACATTTTTTGTCACTTTTGGCTCAAAACATTTATTGATAAGCAATATTTGCCCCTATCATTGAGAATGGTAATACCACAGATGGCCCATCCTTGAGTAAAATCTTGCAACAATATCCTTAAGTCCAAGTCCAGAGAGACCAAGTATTGCATGAAACATTTAATTCATCACCAAAAGTTCCAGATAACAAGGATCCTTTTGGCAGTGTTGAGGCCATTCTTGGGTCCGTAATGAGGTTCAGACACTTCATGATGACTCTGGAAAGTACATTATAGAGTCCAAATTAACAGTCTCTAATGACATTATGGTAAATCCATGCATGTCTGAGTTTATACATCATTTAACTGATAAATAATGACAGCTTCAAATTCTCTCATTAAGTCGATGAATGATAGAGATTTTCTTTTTTTCCTAAATCCTAATGGCACTTGTAGTTCTTTGTTTTTGAATGTCCTCATGGACATTCTAGTGGAGGAGATGGATGGCAAATAAGGAAACAGATCACAAAATGATTGCAGGTGATGATCAGTGCTTTAAAGAAAAATAAAATGCCACAGAGGAATAGAAAGTAACTTGGAAGAGGGATATTGTTTTAGACAGAGAGTCAGAAAAAGAGGCAGAAACATTTAAGTAGAGACCAGAATGACTGGGCCATGCAGATATGTGAGCGAGCAGTGTTTCAGGCCGACGATTCAACAAGTGCAGAAGCAGTTGGGTGGAGTTGAGCTTGCTGTGTGCAAGGGATAGCAAAAAGACCAGTCTGGCTGGAGCGGACTGAGCCACAGAAAAAGTGGTGGGACATAAGGGATGGAGAGGGAGCCAGGACAAAGTCAAGAGGCCTTAGAGGCATGGCAAGGACTCTGAAGTTTATTCTAGGTGTGTGAGAAGCCATGGGAGGGTTTATGCAAGCAGGGAAATATCCTTTAGAAAGATCACTGTGGCTGCTGCCTGGGAAATAGACTATGGAGGACCTCAAATAGAAACAGAGTCCACCTGGGAGCATATTTCAGGGTCTCTGTCAAGAGGTATTGGTGGTTTTTTAAAAAGATCCCCGAGAGATTCTTATGTGTGTCCAATGTTGAGTAACACTGGTTTGCATTTAAGAGAAAAGAATTTGGTTGAAAGGATATTGCTGCTTCTCCAAAAAGAAAAACATATTAAAAGCATTTTAGGATATATATCCTCCTTATCGCTGAAATAACAGTTTTTATATATCCTACTTATATTGTTTTAAAACCAGTCAAGCGTGGGTTTTTTGTTTGGGGTGTTTTGTTTTGTTTTTGAGTTCTGTGTCTGTTTTCTCTCTCCTTTCCCCTCTTCCACCTCCCCCTCCATCTCTCTAATCCCTCTGTTCTTTCTACAAAGGAACTTGGAAAATCGTGGGAAGAAGTTCAGTTGGAAGATGATCGGGAGTTGCTAGACCATCAGGAAGAGTAAGGCTTGTTATCGCTGCTAATTAATTACAGGGTTTTAAGAGTAGAAAAACAGTTCCTTCGTTTGGTTTAAAATTATCATTCTGGGGAGACAGAATAAAGAGAAAGAAAACCTCTCTAAGCCGTGTATCCTTTCATGTAATGTAGCAAAAACGTGGATTCAAAATAACTCTGACATAAAAATCACTAAAGCAACTGTTATTCTGACTAAATAGTGTTTTGCCATTATAATTGAACACAGAGGTGATATATAATTCAGAGAAAAATACCCTCCAAAGTGCTTTGTTTACTCGATCGGTCCCCAGACCTTGAAGTGATAAAATCTTTGAACTCTCCATGCTGCTTGTCATTGAGTAGAGAATATAACTCAATTGAAGTTAACCTTGTTCTCTGTTCTTCTCATTGGTGACCGACTTAAAACATCCACAGCTTCTATGCTTGAAATTATAAGCTTGCAAAGTGTTCTTTTCAACCTACAAGGATTCCCTATTATTCCTCCTCTTTTCATTCAAAGCTGTTCAACCTTTTCTCTCCTGGGATTTTGATTTTCCTGGTTTAGGAATGACAAGAAGTTGGCAGTATCTCAAAAAATAAATGCAAGGAGGGGAAAAAATGGCAAAAGGGGTCTTGTATGCTTTTTGAGTTCTCTATCTACCACCAGATTTAATACTTGCCCCATTTAAAATGATTAGTATTTCCCACATGAAAGATATACTGTTTGCCTTTTTTAAATGCATTATTTGTCATGCAGAAATATACTCTCAGCATCGCACCTCACAGCATGTGCACTTTGTGCTTGTGGTTAATGAGAGAGAGCATCACGTCTCCCGATATGTTTCCTTTGCAAATTAAACCTAGTTGTCTCAGAAAGACATTGCATTGATTCTGTAGTGAAATAGCTGCTCAGAAGAGAGGCAAATATAAGAAAAGGGAGCAGCACCTGTTCACTATTTATATTAATTTCATGGTGCTGCTTTGAATTTCAAAAGCTGTATCAAAAAGTCATAATATGATATGACAGTCTTTACAAAAATGTCAGAGTTGAAAGAGATTGGCAGGGTTTCCTACGGAGGAGAAAGTAATACCAAATCATTGTGCAGTACACCCTCTTAATGAAGGGAATCTCCATGTCTGCTCTTTTCTTTTTAATACAGTGACTGGTCTGATTGGGAAGAACACCCAGTCTCTGCTGTCTGCCTATTTTGTGAAAAACAAGCAGAAACAATTGAGAAATTATATGTTCACATGGAGGTGAGATACTTTTATTCATTTGAATTTTGTGTTGTTCTGACATGCGGAAGCTGATAATTATTGCAATCTTACCAGCTTATACCTTTAGTTTCTCAATCATTATCCCATTCCTAAAAGTGCCATAAGCAAAACAGAAGAGACAGGCCAAGTCCATTAAGGAGAACAGGAACTCAGGGCAATTTAGTACAATTGACTGGACCTGGGTGAGCTGTTAATGTGGGATTTCACAGACCACTGATGCCATCCCACCTTTGAGAGGCTTATGACATAATTCTAGCTTATAATGTGGGATCTGCAACCATGATTAACAGTACCCAGGATATGGACACATTCTGAATTTTTTTCCAGTGCTTCCTGTGCTGGTGAATAAGGAGAACAAGAAGGGAGAAATTTACCATTTATAAGGCCCGTGGAGAAAATGGCAGGGGGAAGTGCATGGAAGTAGAGAGGGTACAGGGTATGGTCTTGCAGCTGGTTTGGTTACAAGGATTTGGAAAGAAGAAATTTAAGGGCATTTCCAGTTTATGCTTTCCCTTTTGGATGCCATTTTTATGTTATAATGAAGCTTGAAGCTGGTAGTTCTAAACCTCTTTTTCACTCCAGTATATCTAAGAGATGACACTCCCTATACCTCTGATCCTCAGCTGGACAGTGGGGATAGGGAAGGGGGACATCTAATGACTCATGACAGTATTGCCATTTGAGGATAGAGAGATGATTATAATAGAAAATCATTACCGGATGATTCTGATGTGCTCTCCCTACCCTCCCCCACCAATCTCTACGAATAGTGGAGCAGGCTCTCCTGTTTCCCCACCTTCACTCCACTCTCACTCAGAAACACTGTTCTTAGTTCAGGAAGGTAAGGACTCGGAAAGTGCTCAAAAGGCCATGAGCATTTACCTTTATGAAAGCAGATGACCAGTTTCTCTAAAACAGATTGCCACCAGTATGTGTATATAGTTTCCAGTGTTGAAATTTAGCTCATAATATCCTACTATCTTTGAATTGAAAGGAACCTTAGTACCCTTATGCTGTGTAGGAATTCTCCTTGCAGTATCCTTGTGACTGGTATCCCCAGCCTCTGCTCAGTCACTTTCAATGACAACATACCGTGGAATTCCTAATTATTCTGCCTGTGGTGCTACACTAAATGCCTTCACAGAGAGTTAGATGGGCTTTATTCTCCGTAAGCTTGTGAGTTAAAACTTTAGCCAGATGGACGATTGCTAGAATGGAAGAGAATAAAATGAGTCTGCTTTGTAAAAATCAAAAGGAATGTAATTTATGGGAAGCTGTGAGTGAAGAGAAACTTGCAGGTTTAATCAGTGTATTTGACAGCATAAAATGAAAAGCAGAATTTGTAAAACTACCTATCTGCTGTGGAGCAGAGGACCTATGTCCATAATTCTAGTCCAGTTGCCCAATACAGTAGGGCCACATCTTACCCAGAGACTGAGGACACTTTTGTCAGATTGCAGAATGCAGACATAGTAAATTGGAAAAACTGTAGATACAAGCAGTGAATAGTTAAAATGTTTTAACTGATTGGCATGACTTGTTTGGACTGTGTTTTACAAAGCAGTTAGATGTGGGGGGAAGCAGTTAGGTTTCGAAGACTTCAAAAGCAGAAGACGAACTGAGACTGAGTTTCTACAGTGTTCAAACTCCTGTGAATGAGCTGTCTGTCTGTTTATAACTTCAGTCTGAAAGATTAAATAATTTAGATGCTCACAGATATATTCATTTCTTTTTTTAGGATGCACATGAATTTGATCTCCTCAAAATAAAGTCAGAACTTGGTAAGTTTGATTCGGAAGTTGTTTTCCATGACACTGCGTTTTTTATACACTGCCCTCTAAAGGATGCCTGTGTTGTGTAGTCATGATTGGAGAGTGCACGGCCAAGATGTGTGTCTCCACAGATGGTCCCAACAGAACTGCCTGAAGCAGTGATTTGCAACAATTTCAAAGTGGAATATTCAAATATGGTATTTGATTTCATATAGTCTTCCTTCTTCTTTCCTACATATATGAATGCTTCAAATAAAATTCAAGTTAATTGTTAATATCTATCATAAAGTGGAGGGAGCTAATGGAAAGAGCATGGATTTTGAACTCAGACTGGAGTTTGTATTCCAGCTTCAGCAGTTGCTAACTATAAGACGTTGGGCCTCAGGTCAACAGAATGTTATAGGGAGTAGATAATATATGTAAAACACCTACTGCACTTCTTAGCAGTGTAGCTAGATTATTTATTATACATGTACCCAATTGCATCATTTTCAGTATCACTATGATAGAAAGATTAGGAGCATGAAGACGTAAAGTGCTGACTTGCTAATGGATCCAAGACAGGAAAAGCTCACTTCCCACACCTCAGCTCACTGACTACTTTCCTAGACTCTTTTATGTGTTACTTTACTTTGCTGTTCTTGTAGACGTGTATATTGTTGTATGTATAGTTAGCTCAGTAGGCAAGAACATGGGCTCTGGAGCCAACAACCTGACGTCAGATCCTATCTCTACTACTTACTAGCTGTGCAACCTTCGACAGTTTCCTAATAGAAATTGTAGATGTGATAATACTATGTATGTGATAAAGTTTTTCAAGGATTAAACGTATTAATACATGGAAAGTGATTAGAACAGTGCCTAGCCCATAAGCCCTGTATAAGTATTGGCTGTTATTTGATATCTGTTATTATGCTTTATAATTGCACTGCCTCTTCAAGTTAGTTAATAAAGAGAAGTGGCTCTCTTAAAAAATTGTAACAGTGCAAAAGTGGGTCTGACCAGTTGTCTAATGATTCTGTATACTGTCATTTTCAGGATTAAATTTCTATCAGCAAGTGAAACTGGTCAATTTCATTCGGAGGCAGATTCACCAGTGTAGATGTTATGGCTGCCATGTGAAGTTCAAATCCAAAGCAGACTTAAGGACTCACATGGAAGAAGCTAAACATATATCACTGCTTCCTGAAAGAAAGACATGGGATCAACCAGAGTGAGTACTGCTCAACCAGACGTACACTTCTTTGCTCTGTCTGCTTTATTTTGTCCCTTTATTTAATTCCTTTAAACTTAAATAAAAAAGAAATACATGTTTATTGTAAACAGTGAAAATCTTCAGAAACCTTATTTTTAAAGTAATCCTCCTATTACAAATGTAACCAGCTATTTCAGATTTCGTGTTGTGGAGATAGATATAGATGTAGATAGATATGCAAGTATAAATTTTGAAATTACGTTTTGTTAACACCATAAGTAGCTTTCCATATCCAATACAAATTTACTGCATCATTTTTAATGCTTTCCAAATATCCCATGGTGTGGATATACCTTAATTTATCAGATATTTAGGTTGTTTCTTTTGTTTTGCTCTCATAAACAGTGATACAGTGAGTATCCATATGCCTTCATATTTGCACACTTATCCGATTATTTCGTTTAAACTCCTAAAAATAAAATTACTGTGTCAAAGAGTATGCAACTGCTAGGGCTTTGATATATGTATTTTGCATCTTGGCACTTTAAACAAGTTAAGCAATTGGTCTACTGATACACACCTATCAAGGTGGTGTCAGACTCCCAGGTATCCTTTGTCAGTCCAGCCTTCTGGGCTGGTTCTCACGTCACTCTGAATAACCTCAGCTGAGGCAACCTCTGAGAGCTTGTGGGTTGTAGCTGCCCGGAGTTCCACTATTCTCAGGGTATGTTAAATCAGGTCCCCCCAGTAATCTAGCCAAAAGCTCTAGTTTTTCCTCTTTAGAAGGTCCCAGATTTGTGACAGGCAGAGTCAGCCCTGGATTGACCTGATACCCTATTCTTATAATTCTTCTTCTATAGGTTGAGATCCTTAGAGGTACCTTAGGACTAACTCCGAAGTGTTTCCAGAGAAGGAACCAGAATAATAGACCTAAAACTGTATAGATGTTTTAATTTTTGATCATCTAGAATGAAGGAACCAGTAATGATTAGGTTGAGAAAAACCAACACACAAAGGAGAAACCATTGTTTTCATCAGATATTTGAAGGATAAGTGTATGAAAGAATAACTATATTTGCACTTTGTTAACCTCTAGGAAAGAACTGGGATCCTTGAGCAGAAATGAGAGGGATGTCATTTTTGCTTCATATGAGGAGGTATTATCTAACAACTAGAGTTGCCCGATACTGCAGCAGGCTGCCTTTTAAGGTAGTAAGTTTCTTGTTATGGCAGATATCAAGCAAAGGCTGAATGGCCAGCTAGCAAGGATACTAGTAAGTCTGACGTCAGCCAGTAAAGGTCAAAGTGAAAGTAATTCAGAAGTTGTCTCCCTTATAGGTTTTGCAAAATGCTGTTGAAATTGTTGGCAAGGAAACCTAGCAAAATGATAGTAATATGTACATTCACTTGCCTAGAAATTTTCCGAATAATTTATACTTTTGGTTAATATATCTATGGTTATTTTCAGGTATTATTTTCCAACCTATGAGAATGACACTCTACTGTGTACACTGTCTGACAGTGAAAGTGACCTAACAGCTCAGGAACAAAATGGAACTGTTACCGTCATCAGTGAAGACACATCTAAACTGCATGCTTTGAAACAAAGCAGTATTTTGAACCAGTTGCTACTACATGAGTGCTTGAAAAACTAGAAGAAACTGCCACAGAAGCAATTTTTCATGTTTTCTCCTATGTGATAAACATGAAAGAATAGTTTAAAGCTGAACATCAGCAAAGGATTAGTCCTTGGTGAAATAAAATTTTAAAAAATGGATATTCTTTTCAAAAACTAAAGTAGAAAAATAAAATGAAGACTTTTTGTATTTGGCTCTAAAGTTTTATTATATAATCATTATAAATGATCTCATTAGATTCATGATTATCTGTAATAAGGAGGACATATAAATCACAAAGAAATGAAATGTTCAAATTATTTATAAACCTAATTTCAACCAGTGGTTTCAGTAGTTTCAGTTTCTTCCCCACAGGCTTTCTTCATCCAACAAGTCAAAAATTTGACAGATGTGTGCTTTCTGTACTGCATTGGGCAAGCTAGAAATGTAGTAACCAAAAGAGGAGCCACGGAGGAAAGGAAAAATGGTCAAAGATCAGGAGAATGCACAGATTGGACACTATTTCAGAATAATCAAGAGCTGACTATATTATCATTACTACTTTCTTCTTAGAGTTATCAAACTGCCTAGAAATGGATGTCAAGCCAAATAACTTCACTTTCCCCTACAATGTATATATCGCTAACAGATAAGTACCATTTTTTGAAAACGAAACCACAATGCCATTATGACATCTAACAAAATTAACAATAACTTCTTAACATCATATATTTTCAACTTTACGTAGTTGTCTCAAAAAATCTTTTTACAATATTATCACTTACAGAGCAAATATAGGACAAATAGGACAAAATATGCCTCCTGATAAGATGCAGTGAGCAGGACAAAATATCACTTTTGAAGATTCCTCTCCAGAACGTATAATGTGAATGTAATGAAGAAACATCAGTTTAATCCAACTTGAGGAATAGTCTACAAAATAGTTGGCTTTTACTCTTCAAAAATCAAGGTCATGAAAAACCTCGAAAGAAATACTCTTCCAGATTAAAGAAGAATAAAGAAAAATCACATGTAATCCTGGATTGGCTCCTGGACCAAGAAAAAGTTCTTCTGCTATAACAGATATTAGTTGGACAATTGGCAAAATTTGAATAAAGTCTGTAGTAAATGTTATGGTATTGGTGTTAATTTCCAGATTTTGATCATTATGCTCTGGTTATGTATGACTGTCCTTCTCTTTAGAAAATGCACACTGAAGTATTTAGGGGTAAAGGAACATTTTGTTTGTAACTTTTTCTCAAAAAACTGATAAGGATATAGAGAGATAATGATAAATGCAGTAAGATGTTAACATTTGGGTAATCTAGGTGAAGGATATGTGGGAATTCTTTGTACTATGGCAATTTTTTGTAAGTCTAAAATTGTTTCAAAATATAAATTTTTTAAAGATGTCTTTTTACAGTTTAAATCAGGTTTTAAGTGAGATAACATGCATTACATTTAGTTCATGTGGTTCTTAAGGGTCTTATAATCGGTAACACCTCATGCTCCCCTTTTTTGTTTTTTTTTGTTTGTTTTGAGGAAGATTAGCCCTGAGCTAACTGCTGCCAATCCTCCTCTTTTTGCTGAGGAAGACTGGCCCTGAGCTAACATCTGTGCCCATCTTCCCCTACTTTATATGTGGGACGCCTGCCACAGCATGGCTTGCCAAGCTGTGTGTAGGTCCACACCAGGGAACCCCGGGCTGCCAAAGTGGAACGTGTGAACTTAATCGCTGCACCACTGGACTGGCCTCTCATGCTCCCTTTTTTAAAATGCCACCTACTTATTAAAGAAACTGGGTCATTTGTCTCACTTTCTGAATTTGTATGATTGTATCCTCTTTGTGTCATTTAACATGTTCCTCTATTACCCATTTTTCTTGCAAACTGGTAGATGTAGAAGCTCCATTAAATTTGTGTTCAAAAAACTTTTTTACAAAAATAATTCGTAAGAGATACTTGTGGTTCCTGTTGCGTCACATCAGGCACATTGCAAAGGGTTCCTGCACTCGGTGTCAAGGTGTGTGTCTGGAGGCTTCCACACCAACAGGCAGTTCTCAGGTGCCAGCAGGGTGTCCAAGAATTCAAGTCAGTTCTGACGCTATCTACCAGAAGATAGAATCAGATTCCACAGTAAAAGGCTCAGTCTCACAAGACCACCCTCCACTTCAGACACCAGCCACAACCCTAGCTTGGTACCTGTGCTTCTGACTGACCGGTACAAACTGGAAGTTCCAACATCCTCCTCCAATTCAGGATGCCAATTGCGAGTCCAGGTTGTTACCCATACTTCTGACCAACTGGCTATAAATCAGCAGTTCCTATGACCCCCTCCTCAGTTTCAGTTAATTTGCTAGGACAGCTCACAGAGCTCAAGGAAACACTTAACATTTATAAGTTTGTTAAAGGATATGATAAGGGATACAGGTGAATATCCAAATAGAAGAGAAACTTAGAGCAAGCTAAGGGAAGGGATGCACAGACTTCCAAACCCTCTCCAGGTGCACCACTCTCCCATTACCTCCATGCGTTCACAAACCCAGAAGCTTTTGGGGGAAAAAAGGGTCAAGAAGCTATTCTTTTGCAATTTTATGGAGGCTTCATTACATAATCATGATTGACTAAGTCTTTGGCTATTGGCAGTTGAGTCAACCTCAAGCCCCTTGCCCCTCCTGGAGGTCAGGAGATGGGACTGAAAGTTCCAAACCTCTGATCCCATGGCTGGTTCTCCTGGCAACCAGCCTCCACCCTTGGATGGGGTCCAAAAGTCATCTTCATTAACAAACAAGAAATTCCAAGGATTTGGGATCTGTATACCAGGAACTGTGGACGAAGACCACATATATATGAGAAATATACTTTGGTCATCTGAATGACCAAATAGGTTTTTCTTATAGATCACAATGTTGCACACATAATAACTGATGTGCTGTTTTTAGAGATGTCAGAATTGATCAGTGCATTCAGGTATTGTCAGTCTGATGAATCATTATAAAGTTTCCCATCAGTCTTTTAAGTAACCATTTTAGTATCCATTGGTAATTTGTTACCTAGAGCTATTATTTTTTAGGAGTTACAAAATGGTGATTTTCTAATTCTGTCATTTCTTTATGAATGGGCTCCTTACACAGCATATGTGCTATAGAGCACTGGAATCTGAAGTTCTAGTTTTCAGTTGTTAATGCTAGCCTATGTAGGCAGTGCCCCAAGACTAATCTTAAAGTTGTATGGCCTGTCCAGAGTGTCCAGATTAATCCCCCACCATGTGACCTGAAATTGACTGGATTTGTAAATTACATGGGCTCTGAGCAGAGGCTTTAGATTTCTAAGCCTCCAGCTGTGCAGATACCCATACAAGGCTTTTATTAAAAACCAAGCAAACAAATAAATGGGAGCCTTTATTATAATAAAAATTGCCTAAGTTAAAGACACAAGTTAAATTGTTTTAGAACCAAAGCTTAAGAAGGCAATTAGTCCTGTGCCTAGAACCTTGTGTTTCTAGGAATCAGAGTTGTTGAGGAAATCAAGGAATGTCTGAGGCGTTTCTAGAATGTGCTTCAGTCTTAACCAGAACAGGAGCAATGGAAGAATGAGGACAAAATGAACTAATTAAGCTTGAGAAGGAGAAAGCTTTTTTGGGGATAAAGTTTTAGAGAACAGATCAGATAAGTATAAAAGGATAAATGAAATTGAAGGACAGACCATCAGATAAAAGGGAAAAGATTAGATGCTTAGGATTTAATTCATCTAAGAGGTTATTTTTTAAATGGGTAGATAGATGTTTTGGGGGTTTTTTAGGACAAAAGTAATAACTTAGTCCCAAAGAAATGGAGCGAGAATAGGAACAAAGTCAGCAAACTGCATTGACTCTCCCCGAGGGTGCACAAATATAGGCCACTGTTGGTGAAATACTCTCAGAGCCTCATGGGTCTGGTGAGACCCTGTCCAGGCTGATGAAAGAACCACAGTGCTCTCCAGGCATGAAGAACCCCTCTAGTTCACAATGAGCAGAATCAGATACTGGGAAGGATGTGTTTTAGATTTTAATGTCTTAGCTTGAACTCAAGCAGACAAGAGAATCTAATCTTTGAACTTTAATTTCTCTCTGGGAAATTCACTATGGTAGAAGGGTTATATTTAAATTGGGGACACCAGTATTTTACCGGACTGTTTTTTTATTGAAGCGTCTTTAAACTGTCATATAATCTCTTTGCAGAACCTTTGATAGACTGTTCGAAACAACATGGTTAGACATAATTCCAAATGGAAAATGAAATGGGGAGATTTCAGCTGGCGTTCAGCCTGCCCATGGAATTACTTCAGTCAATGAATTGCTTTCTGAGGGCAATAGCTACACTCTTCACCACCAGGCTCAGGAGAATATACATAGAAAGAGGAGTTGCCATTTGGGTGGGAGGAGTGGGGGGATGGGCTCATGGTGGAGCCGCACTGTCATGACAGATTACTGATCTCCTGCAGAGGAGGTGGTCATACTCTTGGTTGGCTTGGAGCTTAATGGTTAAGCCCAAAGAACTAAGAACAAAAACCTGGGAAACTCCTTTCCCCTAGTATCTTAAAGAATCAATCAGGCTGTCTCCATTAAGTGTGTTTGAGTTCCACTGGGTTCAGGATACTGCCCTCTAGTGGGAACTGGGCATTCTGTCCCCAGACTGTGGACCATTTCCACCAAGTGGATGTTTTCACAGTGGTCCCTTGGACTCCATGTTTATGAATGAGACATATACATTTTCTGAAATGAGTTCCATTAAGCCAGTTTAATTCCTGAGTCATATTCTGTCATATTCTGTCTACTTCATATTCTGTCTTATAAACTTGTCTCTAATATATTTTACTTTTGTTTTTCTTTTACTAAACTTATTTTCAAATAATTTAATTCTGTTCTGTGTAAATTGTACAAGAAATATTTCATACATCTATCAATTATTTCCATTGTAACTTCTGCCATTGTAAATTTTCCTTTGTGACCATTGTTTTTAATAAATCCAATTTCCCTAGACAAATATTTTGCATGTCTAAATTTTATCAAGACAATTTTATCCATTTTTTTTAGTCTCTAACAAACTGTGTACTGTGACATTTTAAACATTATCGGTTCTATTTTGAGGAGATTATTCCTTTATAATAAAATTCATAACGACTAGGAAAAAGAATTCTTTGATAAAAATCTGTCATCAAAGTTTCTGGTGTTGGATCTGTGTCCTTTTTGGATGTGCCAGGCAGAGGCAGGCCCTAAGACAGCCTTGTTCGCAGTCCAGTTACATACGGATAAACACAAACCTCAGGTTGAAACTTAAGTGTCTCCTTTTACCAATGAAATTCCAAGCCACTAAGGAAAGAGTTCTTTTTGCCTTTCCAAGCTGCTACCTTAACAATCAATGAATGGTTTAAGCTCTGGAGAATATCTGGCTTATTCATTTGTAAGATAGCTTTCATCTTTGCACACTATTCTTTTCCTCAGAAAGTGACAATGTAGTTATTTTAAATATTCCTTGAAACCAATGACAGTGTGAATCGTGTTTTTTAAATGCCTTGGTTAGTGAAATTCTTTCAGCCACTGAAATAACCTGGGTTAAGTTATTAAAACAAGTTCCCACCATGGTACACACAATAAGCAGACATAATTAGGTTGACCCGTGTAAAATTCCTTTAATTTTAGCATTTGGAACCTACAAAAATGGCAAATTCATATGGGTCAAGCTAAGATGATTGATTTTACAAGTTAAGGGGGATAAAGATTATCTGGCAGCACACAACATGACAAGAAGAAGATTATTTTTGTGTTAAGGTTGAATTAGAAATCCTCATGTCTAGGCAGTAGATCTAACATCGAAGCCTGAAGTGCCCACCAGCTCCGAATCCAAAACAAGTGACTCTGGTGGACTGGGCAGTCTGCAGTGACCCCAGGAGGCACGCCTGGGCACCCTCCCTCCAAGGGGCTCACTTCTCGCCTCTAGTCCATTTTCCTTAAGCAGTCCCTGCCAAGTGTTATTTTGGAAACTCAGGCCCATGTAGCCAAATTTGCTATTTTTCAAAAGAAGTCAGATATCTGGATTTTTATTTGAAATTTCCTGATTTTTAATTCCTGTGTGAAGGCTAATTCCAGTTTGTGACTCTCGATACAGATGACATGATAAAAGAGGATAGCAAATTCATATTGTGTTGAAGACAGACCAGTGTTCTCAAAAGAAGAGTGGGATGTGTGCACTCAGAGGATACTTTCAAGTTTTTATTTGTGTATATTAA